GTACTTATCTCATCCCAGCGTTGAGGGAAAAAAATAAGCGGTCGTTGCGAGGATCAGAAAGTATATACTACGCTTCGAAACACATTTTTTGCTTTGTTTTTAAAAGACGCGCCTGTCGGACCCTATTGGAAATAAGCCTTTGGTTTTATGGGCTATCATCCAGGCACCAGGTTTTTTTTTTTTTCAATGTTGTGTCTTTGGGGGGGGGGGTGTAGTAGACTATTTTTTGTGTGAGTGCCAAATAAACCCAAACCAAACCAAAACCCAAATTATATTTTTTAAGCCAGTCAGTATTGGATTGATATTCATATGAGTTTGTCATTTATTCAGTATCATGGAATTTGCTATTCAGCATACGTGTAATTAATTGTTGTCGGAGAGCTGGCGCTTATATTTATATTTAATATATTTTATTGAGTTCCCTTTTGTGTAACTATGGTTCGCTATTCCATATATCGATCTGCCGTTGAATTTAATGCATGGTTGCACCTTGTATATTAGTTTTTCATCTCGATATAATTAGTTTTATTTTGAAGTCCACGTTCTGCCTTTATGACGCTTTGCGGTATATAGTAGTATATTGCCGGGGTCAATATATGCCTCGCTGTTTAGCATGTTCGACTGTCCATCACTTTGTTTCTGATTATCAACGAGCCCTGAAGATTTGTAAACCTCAGAATGGCCTGTTTGCCAAAAGTTGTTTGTCTTGTCCAAACGCAGGAGGCATTATCGCGGTGAATGGAGGCCTGACGAGACCTTGTTTGACTTTTCCACGGCGGGTTGTTGTAAAGCCTTCTCATGTGTCAGGCAAACATATGGGACGGGATGGGCGGATTGGGGCTGGGAATTTTAACAAATTTACTATATGGGTGTTTCCTTAATGTTGATATCTTCGTACATTTTCACTGAGATGGGAAGTAGGAGACAAAATGCCGCCATCATGGTTTGGTTACATGTGTGCTTTGGTATAGGCGGGTATGGACAACCGGGATTTTTTTTTACATTGGCTTATCTAGCTCCCAGACCCAGTTTCATGAAACTCAATGGTTCTTGAGGCCGGAGTGCCGAATGGTAATTACACATAGCAACCGATGAAAACTGGTGTGCAAATGAATCACGTAATCCCGCCTAGGTTGGACCAAACTAAAGCTCCGATACGAAAGTACACGATCAAACAATGTGCCATTTCGCTTTGAGGTCTATTACGTGTAGGGGTGCATACCTATGTTCCCCAATACCTATGTTCCCCAACCCTAACCATAACCCTAACCATCTAACCCTAACCCTAACCCTAAGGATTTAAACATAGGTATTGGGGAACATATGTATTGGGGAACATCGGGTAGACCCCACATGTGTAGGCATACATGTATAGTTTGAAAATAAAAATGAGAGTCAAATGATAATTGGCTTGAGAAATTAATTGTGAAGTATATATGTGCAACATGCACCTCTCCTGAATTTATATTCTGTATCACTTGCACTCCGGTGACTTTGTGTTGTACATTGGTAAACCCTAAAATGGCGTATCATGAAAAGTCATATTCAACAATCTATAGGTCAAGGCCTACACCAAGGAGAGATTGATTTCATAATTATGCCTGAATATATCGCAATTGTAATCCATCTTCGTTGCCGTGACCTTGCTATGTACCGGCAACAAAATACTACTAATGAAAACAGTTTCTTTCTGTTTTTGTCTCTATGCTCCAAAGGACACCGACACGCAGTAACTGGAATAATTTGTTTTGCATATTATTAATTTTTCTTCGGGTTGACGTTAGGTATACTGATTACCAGCAGAGCAGTGTCGTGTTGTCGTTTACACATCAAGGTCATTACTGGAGCGAACTGCATTCCCTCAAATTAAGGCTTGTTGACTATGAGCCGATAGAATCCAATCCGGCTCACTATACATTCCGAACATGTGGATATTATTCCTTCATTATGAAAATGTGAAAATTTGCCGAAACCATGGGACAGCTTTCAGAGGAAATGAGGTGAATAAATTACGTAGGCTTGGTGTTGTGCTGCAATTAAGGGTATTCTTTTTGCGGGATGTTGGGTTGTTTGTTTTGAGAGTGCGGGCCTGTTTTGTTTGTTCGTCTGGCTGCTTGTTTGTTTTATCTCACAGACTAAAGAGGACCCCCCCCCCCACACACACACACACACACACACACACACATTATCACAATGGATGACAGCCTCTTACTTTTTCACTCAAACAATTCTTTGCCATTTGTTTATCAATATTTAACGACAAAACCCTGGTAAAACGTCAATGTGTACATCACGGGCTGTTGCTACTGTCTATCATCAATTAATGTTTTAGCAAGCAGCGAGAGAGACGGATTATATCTTTTTTGACAGGAAAAGTGCAGCTGGTTCGCTGTGTCTTCGGAGAAAAATGTTAATCCTCGATTGACGTGGAAAGCCTTGGGCATATGCGCTTCGTATGTATAGCCTCAGCGGTTGAATTTCGGTCTATGAACATGTACGTACAATTTCCCTTTCAGTGGAAAATAGAATTCCCTTGAAACGCTAAGATAATTTTATGCAGGTTTTGCGAACGATCTTTTTTTCATCTTGGTTTTTCCACTGATATTTGTGTTATCCTGTCTATAATGTACAGCATCGGTGGCATTTCGTTGCAGTTTTTTTTTGGAAATTTGAGCTCAGTGTATGCCACCTTTCCATATGCGCATTTTCAGCCCGTATTAATATCTGTTGTGACTATCGGGGATTAGGCCTACAGTTTAGAATAGACGGGTTCGAATGACGTCGGAGGCAACTATTTTACGAAATGGAGCACTGACACGTTGTATAAGCAAGACAGGCAAAACGATCTGTATTGGAATTGAGATGTTAGGAAATATGTTAGTGAGATTTCTGATGTGCGACTTCGCTCAGGCAATGCAGTTTTCTTCGATGTTAAAAGAAGCAGTAACCGTACAAAAACAAATGCAAGAACACCAATTCATAAGCCGACGCTGCATAGACTGCCCATATACATGTCATGCTGTGCTGAACTGTACACCTTTTAAGTTCGATTTGGCTGTTTTCGTCCATGGCAGCAATCTTTCGATTGCTAGAGGCCTATTTCATCAACAATACTCTTCCGCCTTTACACGTCATCGACATCAAATAACGTCCCTTTAATACAGTATAACGAATGTGAGTGCTATTGAGCCTAAATAAAAAAGAAAGCCCATTTTGTACCGGATAATTCAGTATTGCATGGGAAAATGCATTTTGTAGATTATTTTGTGTTTCAAGATTTACTTTTAAACGCAAACCGAAAACATAATGTTCACACTATATAGCTAACTGGTTTTATATGACGTTTTCCAGGAATAGTCGTCATATTATCAAAAACAAATTTAACGCCATTATTCGACAAGCGGAACGTGCATTAATCATTATATGATGCCATATATAATGCGTAGATTACGACTGCTTGATTTAATCCATGGAGAATAATAACGGAACCACGAACAACAACTTCTATTTATGAATTAAATTATGGAAATATAAAAGAAATAAAACAATAATCGACGGAATTTTGGGAGACTGTTTTTTGGTAAAGTTTGGAGAGTCTCGAGACATTCTGGTCAAACACTCCGTTGTCTTAACAGCATTATAAACTTTTATATTAACCTCGACAATTTTTATAATTGTACTTAATGTCCAAAATATATCAAATACATTTAAAAAAAAAAAAAATTAAATTTCAAAAAGGACGATATAGGACCAGACGATTGGCAGTAAAATTCACTCAAATTTTAAGTTAGATTGAACAAATGGGAAACCATGGAAACTCGAGTCAAAACTCGATCTATTCGATGGAATGAATTGCGTTCTGAATCGTTTTGTTCCTAGTATCAGTCGGACTGGGTCGATTTTCACTCCGATTGAGTGAATCGTTACTCCTTGGAAACGTTTGTTTTTCCAATAAACCCTAAAGGGTAACAAAAGAATTATATCATGATGCACATTTGGAAAACGTTAAGGTCGTTACAAGATGGGGATGCTAAAGGGAGATTTGTCTCCGAGGGTGAAGGAAGATACCCAAGACCTCATAAAACTGCACCTGCTTATGCTACACATTCCCGATTTTAAGCCGAATCGCCACGAAGGGCACATCTTGAGCAAATTGGGGGTGGTTCTTGGATGCCTCGGGATGGTTCTGTTAGTTCGGTGAAAGATCGTTAAAGATCGGGAAGCGCCCCGACGAATTTGAACATGTTCAAAATTGTCGGGGTGATACGGAAACCAGTTTGAATTCTTGGTTTATTCTTGTTGCATTCATAACTGATTCGGGAATGTGTAAACCTAGCATTAATGAAGAAAGGCCATCGTATCATGTACTTGGACCACAACATCAAATGTCACTTTAACTCGGGCGATGTAATGCAACAGTGACAGAACGGGAGACGGTGAGCAGATGGGTTTGACGTTGACATGTTTGAGCAAAATGTGCCCTGGTAATCTCATAACATTGAAGGGAGCCATTCACTCCTACGGTGTGTACACGGTAATTGGATGAACGCATGCAGGAACATGAAATTGGCCTTGGGTTTGTAGAGGGAATCTTGACAACGTGTTCTCTGGTTTCTAAAGGTGGATATTCATGTTTTTAATTTCGGATTGCCAAGGGGAGGGTGGGGGCTGGGGGATCAGGTTGGCGCAGTAATACCTTCGGGGTCTTCCACTTCTCATTGGCACGGGTTCGATTCCCACCCACGCCCATATGAGGAACGGGTTTGTCCTTGCCTCCGATCCTAAGACTTTCCTATAACTTCTAAAACTGGAACATTATTATTTTTCACCGTCCTCTTCCCTGTAATTTTTTTTCGGGATCAGGAACTATTGTGACTGTCCATTATTTAGGAAATTCATTCCTTGTGTCATTATACCCGAGAGAATTCGGGAGAAAAAAATTCAGATGCCTTTATTGGAAAATCATACTTTGAAGGACGTTAAACCGAGTGGATGCCTACCTCGTGTTCCAGCTATAAACTGCATCTTCTGCTGTCCATTGGAATTATTTGTTGGCCTTTGACCGAGCGGCCGCCTCCCATCTTGGCCCCAGTCTCCACCCCTCCCGGAGTTCCTTCCCCGCATCAGTTCGTCTCCCGCGGCCAACGCCGGCAACGCTGCCTCCAGCCGTGTCTGGTGGCGGAGCGATGAGGAGCCACGTTGGGTGGTTTTCAGTGGGTGGAGGTGCGCCGTGTGCTGGCGGTCGGACTCCCTGGCCGCACCCGGTCTACCCTCGGTCTGAGAGTCCCCTGTGCTCCCCAAGTTGGACACGTGGTTGAAGAGTAAGATGTAGGCCGGGAACGCCAGGCAGGCAATCAGGGTCAGCTTGAACAGGGTCGTGTCCCTGTGCCTAGTCCGGCAAGGCAGGAGGGTTGATAACCACCCTCGTCTGTGTTTACGTTTAGACCACATCGTCAAGAGAGTTGGCGTTCACACGGCCGTCGCTTCTTTACAAGGGTAGAGTATGTAAATTGAATTCACCGCATGTAGTTTGCGCTGACAAAATGACCTGTCCCACAAATTGTTAGGTCGTCTTGAAAATGCATAATATCCGACCGTATAATCTCATACATCAAGATGGTACACTGACAACATCCGCATATTAACTGCCAACCATCCCGAGTCTGTCCACACACACGCAAGTATGTATGCGCCTATCTACAGTTCGCTGCGGATGATGTTACATCGATGCATTGAGTAACACCTCGTGAGTACGCCTGTCTGGCATGCAGCGGAAATAGCGCTAAGCTTACCCGTCAAATCATGCTGAAACACGGTAGGCAGCCGTGTGGTGATCCCGCTGATCAGCAACCTCCTGTACACACAGCCATGCAGGAAACCGTGATTCACAGTTTGTTACTTCTCCCTGGTGGTGTTTTCACATAAAGCGGCTGTCACATCACGGCCATTACTGCCATCCATCACTACACTCGCACAACACGCGCGGACGGGGCTAGCATCTCCGTACGACGGAAGATGTGCCATGCATCTTCAAGACGCTGTGATATCTAAGCACGGGGACCGGAGGAGCGAAACTATAAAATGCATCCACACACACAATTCTCATTAGCCGGCATCTGCGGACATACATCATCCCTGGACTGCAGGGCCGGGATTGTCTACAATCTGAAGTCACCGACAGCAAATCTCTTCTGCCCGCAAGACGTGTCAACTAAATGCATAAAGACATTGTGTACAAATGCAGCCCCGAAATGTGTGTACATTTCTGGATCAGCTGTCCGTATTATTACACGCCCGGACAACGGGTCTGCATCCCCGCTATGCAACCATCGCTCTCACTCGCCCGCAGCATGTGTGTTCATTCATCACTGCCTGCTCCGTATACAGTCTCCGCTCTAGCTCTTGCTACTATATCCATCCAGAGCGCGCGCTCTAGCGCCATGCTCATATTAATAATAGACGGGTTATTAATAAGCCACCGCGAATATTCAAGACCTGTGTATATTATCCTCTCCCTCGAGACCTCGGAATAATGTAGGTCTTACAAATGAATGAAGCACGCCCTCAGTTGACACTACGTGTGTGGGTGGACATAGGGGTAAGGGTGCAGACCAGTAAATCGACTCTGACCGATAGACCTCAGCGATAATTACGCGCACTTCCGAAACATATTTACAATGACTCACAACTCTCCAAGGTGTTTTGGACACAGGTCAAATGATAGCTTATTCATCATCTTTCTTTTTCTGTAAATTGTTTTATGGTAATCCGAAGACTTTTGGGAGAAAATTCCATTCAAAGATGATCACCCCTTAAAAACAGTCGTGTGGCCTATCGCAATTTTGAGGAAAAAAAATGATGCCTGCGCTCCTCTGCAAAATAGAGCATTTTTATGACCCAATTTCATCCAAAATTTACAGAAATACGAGTTTGCAGCCCTGTGCACGGCTTCCACCCATCTTTTTTTTTTACAAACTCTCACGTTCACGGCCCATAAAATTCTCTAATAGCCTAAACAAATTATACAAATCGTCATTCGGCCCGCGTATGCAATTTTGGGCCTATTTATTGGCCTGCACGCACGTACCCATAGCACAAACATAATAAGCATTTCTTTGGTCTGTTTAAGCGAATGTAATGTATAGAATGTGGCCAGGACGGAGGCATATATAACGAAAATAATAAACGACTCGCTCAGCAAAATGCAAAATGAAAATGAAAAAAAGAACAAGACAGTTCAGAATTCATTTGTAAGAAAATGGATTAATAGAGGGGAAAAAAGCAATTTCAATTGATTATTACAATTTCCCGCTTTAAGGGAAATACAATGAACGTAAATTTGTTTGTAAAAAGGGAAGAAAATAATCACATAATCCTTTAAAGTCGAGTCGAGGATGGAACAAATTGAGAGGAAAATCCTTTTTCCTTGGACGGGCCTGTTACAATACTCAACTGTTGAGCTCAGCAGCAGCTAGCTCGGCCTGTTACAACAACACATCATTTGCTGGAATATACACGAATAAAAACGGCAACATTAGTAAGAGAAAAAATAAGAAGAAAAAAAGGCAATTTCACCAAAAACATACTTTTCCCATCCCAAAACAAATCATTATTTTATTAGAAAATTAACACGGTTACGAAAAAAAGCAATTTTCATAAAAAAAATAACCAAGAATCTAAATTTGTTTGTGAAAATTAATTACCCAAAAAAAGATCCCCCTAAAAGCGATTACATAAAACTCGATGGAAGTCCAGCCATGTTTGTCCGAAATAAATCCGGTCATGTATACCGATGAATGTTCAAACTGCAAAACCCTGGGGTATTTTGTCTATCAATTAAAAACTTTCTTGCTATATATCACGTTGTAAAAGGTGTAAGGAACCGGAACTGGACAGGTAATGTTTAGCTTTATATTTACATTATAGTGAGTGATAGGAAGATTGTGCTTAATTGCTATGAACACAATTTCCAGTCAAAAAGTTTTTTTTAAGCTGGTATCGATTGGTGCCTCGAGTCGTTCTGTTTTAATCCCCCCGACAGTTATATCAATTCCAAGTGGAGGGGGGGGGGGGACTGCCGCATGTAACATTATGTTTGCCATTAAGCGCGAACACCTCACAACCAGTACCAAAAGTAATCCGACAAAATCGGGGCCACTTTTTCTGATCAGAAATTACCAATCCCCCCCCCCCCCCAATTTGGACACCCAATGGTTTCTATTTTTAAGCCGCCGACTCCCATATTTTTATCACCAAAACATGCCCGGCCTATCGCTATCGTTCCCCTATAGGCCTAATTCTGTTGATCAATAATTTCCTGTATACACGTCAAAACCTATTGAACATCCTCAAAAGCCTTCGCTCTCTTAAGCCAGTTTATCCAGATTAGTGCAAAGACTAATAAGAAGACAGCGGGGAAGAAAATGGGATCCGGAAATTTTAGCCGGGCAAAGTTTAACATTTTTATTTTAAATCAATTTTTTTGGGCTATAGCCAAAAAAATTATTTTAAGATCTGTATGAGGGCGCACTTCAAACACATTATTCTTGGCGGTCTCATTCGACAGAGGGCGTGCTCGCCCACATGTCAAAGCAAAATAATCGCACGTTGCGTGTTGCCTCTTTTCTGCTCCTGTTTCATCGCCCATGAAATGTAATAAGAATGAGTCGTCTTATCGTTAAAAATCTGCCAAAAGGGGTAAGAAGGTTATTTGGATACTGAGTACTATTTTATTCCATTTTCGAATTTTAAAAATCAAGTTAGACGTCGATGATGTGGGTTTAATTTTCCTTCAGTATCGATATGTTAACATGCTATGTTGCTGCATCTGTTTCGTGATAAAATGGAAACAAACAATACGACCTCGTTAATAAGGAAACTCCATTAATTCCAGGTGTTTCTTTTTCACCCCTTGCCCCTCTTGCAGATCTATGTACTGAACTGGCTCATCAAATATTTGTCTGTTTTGCAATGTAAATTCAAATAACTGAAAGTTAGTGAAAGTGAAACAAAAATGTGATTGTGAATTTGTTTGAACTATCATGACTTTGAACTTTGAAGTTTATTTTGAATCAGTATTAATATTCCTAAGTTTCCATGTAGCATGTGAACATGTAGACTTACATGACCTAGAATTTGGAAGAGTGCCATATCCATATCTGGCCATCACTTACTCGCCACCAAACACAACAATTTTCAGTTCACCTTGTATTTTCATTGACATGATTGAAGACAATACCATTAACCCTAACCCTGCTGAATCCAACAGGATCCAACTATATCCGATGGAGCCTGTTGGATTGAGCAGTTAACCCCTTGTGTACATTCCTGATGCAAAATGTTGGATTCAGCAGGCAACTGAACCGTATTATAACGCCAAGTTGGACTCCGTTGGATTCAGCAGACAACTGAAAATAAGGCACAGTGGATTGAACAGGAAACTCGGGTTGGACTCTGTTGGATTTAGCAGGGTAGTCCTGAGGAAATACTAGGGGGTTAGGGTTAATAGGCTTGGGAAAACTAAGTCAGAGTAACTCGGACCCTACTTATCTTCTTTTTTTAATCATTGCGACATGGCCTTGCGATATATTAGAAGGTTCCAAGTGGCATTGCTGCCATCGCGTGACACAAAACATTAGATTTCCCCCTCAGGCCTCATTAGATCAAAAACATCAGATTTTGAAAATGGCGTATTCGCAACAGAGCCCTTTGCTAGGTTTTATTGTGTGAAATGAAATCCTACTTTGTATTGAAACAGATGCTACCTTTTCCTTCTTTATGGCTCTGAAGGATTTTGTTCAAAGGGAAGTTAAGTCCCAGAACCCTTTGGCTGAGAACTAATACATCAATGATGTTTGACTTCCATAACTATTGCCATTTGTTTTAATAATGCTTATGACCCTTGCCCCCAGCTCTCCATGCTAAAGTTACTTATGCACACTTTTCACACACCCCATGCACCATGATTACAATAAATTATTCATTTCAATAACTCAAATTCCATCATAATACATGTTCAAATGCCCTGTACAAGGTAACATTCTTTAAAAATACACTGAAAAAAATAATTAATTAATTCAATTAAAACAAAATTCTATTAAAATGCACAGAAAGAAAATACAATAAAATACAGAAAAATATGTTATAACGTAATCAACAAACTTTAAGATAATGAGAAAAGGTGAATTTTATCATATAAAAACTCTGAAATCATAGAAAATTACTGACACCATGCAACCCATGTCTAAACCCAGGCAGTGCCAAGATGACACACCTCTCTTTTCCCATTCAATTCTAGATTAAGGAAGACAAGGTTCGCAACCTCTTTGCAGCCCATGGAGAAATCACCGACCTGCAGCTGAAGTACACCAGCGCGGGAGTCTTCAGAAAGTTTGCCTTTGTCGGCTTCAGGGCCAAGTCCAGTGCCCCAAAGGCTGCCAAATGCTTGAACAACACCTTCATCGATTCCTCAAAGCTACAGGTTTGGATATGAGACATGTTCAAAATGTGTTTCTATCTTTTGGGTTAATGTGCATTTTAACATGCGACGGATGATGCACGCGAATGCTGCAGTTTACACCGTGAAACTATAAAGCCCTTCAGACAATTTCTGGGATTTAATATTTGGGGTTGGGTTTCTGTTACGGGTACCCACCCGTGTTGTCCTTCAATAGGGTTCCCGGTTCCCGTAGTACCCGCAAATGCACACCACTATCCTCAGTTTAGTAAAATGTAATTTAGTCACAAATCTGTTTGATACAGGTTGAGATTGCCAAGGATTTGGGAGACGAAAGCATTGCCAGACCATGGAGCAGGTACTCAGAGAAGAGCTCTGCATTTCAGAAGAAACTGACCAGGCAGAAGGAGAAAGAGGCTGCAAAGGAAGGCAAGGAGAAGACCACAAAGACTGCTGTACAACAGGTTGGCTGGATGGAAATTGTAGTTCAATTTTTTTCCACAAAAAAAATAATAGGGCCTGGCAGATCTTCCAGAAAACAATGATTAATGAACTAGTAGTCTCTGGGAATGTTTCTGTTCGAAATCTTCTTGATTTCCCTTATATCAAGAAATCTTGATATCCTCCTTAATCCTAACCACCTTGAGTGATTTTACTAGAAACCTTCCTCATTCTTGCAAAATCCAAAAACATATGGTAAACTCATACACCCAAACTGTTGGACTCTGATTATGGTGGTATGCCTGACCCCATGTAAAGCATAATCAGTTTACTAGTGCGGTACTCACTCCAACGGATTCCATCAAATTTTGGATTTTGAAGGGTTGCGGGGTTAGGGTTAAGCTTACACTGTACTAAGCTTTAATTGTTCAGTAATAGTTACTGGGCCCCACTGTCCTGAATCAAACTAATACAGAGTCAGATGTTGAATTCAGGCAGATTTGGTTTAGCTATAGATGGTAAATACTGATGACATTAGTGGATGTAAGTTATTTTTGTTTCTAATCAGGAAACAGACTCAAAGCAGAAGAAGAAAGACAAGACTAAAGCAGACCCCCTTCACGAGGTAATTAAAATTGATTGTAATTTAGGGGCCATGATTCTCTTCTGAATAATTGTGAGCAGTTTGCCCAAGTGGTTAGTTCTTTTGACTTGTGTTAACCCTCCAGGGTATTTTTTTACCCCATTCAGCTTGAGGATGACGCAGGTTTCCAGGAATTCAAGGAGGCCCATCAAGTCCGCAGCAAGAAACCCCTGTGGAGCAATGACGCCACGGTGACTGACCCTCGCACCACAGGTCAAGGGTTAAAGGTCAAAGGCAACGAGAGTAAGGACGTCAGCAGGGAAGCAGCTGAAGGTACTCATGCTCGTTAATTTTGTTGCATGTTGAGTTTGAAATACAACCCCAAAATACCCGTTTTCGCTTGTGACCTATATTTTTGTTCAGTGATTTTCACTGTTTGTTTATATTGAGTTTTGCTCTTTGATGACTTACCTCATAAACACTGTACACCCAGTCCTGTTTCAGGACTTGTGAGAAAAAATTCACAAGCTTTCTTGGGTGGGATTCGAACCCATTACCTCCCGGTTACTGGTGCAGATGTTTTACCACTCCACCACCAGTTTGCCAGGGTCGGCTCGCTGGTTCGAGTTTGATGTAGCAAAAGGTACCACAGCCAATTTTTTTGTATAAGATAAGCCAGTTATAACATATTTACTTTTGCAATTCTCCGATGCAGATTCCATCTTATAACAAAGATATTCGTTTTGTTAGCAAGTTTTGGAAGCATGTCCTCAAAGATAGTTTCTGGGGCTACATGATGCTCCAACGAAGGTTAATTGGGCACTATATAATGTGGACAATATTGTATGGTATCAGCAGTTTTTCAATGCAACCTATAAAAACCCTTCACATGGTGGAAAGTTTCATATTTCGGGGGGGGGGGGGTTCCTGTCAAAAGCCAAGTTGGGCTCTTTTCAGCGCTGGTTTTTGTCTTTTTTTTCTTCAAAGCCACCAAGTTGATAAATGGTATTTTTCAATTGCGCTTTCCTTGTTTGATTTCACATAGGCTCAGAAGATGACACGTCTTCAGATGAGGATGCTGAAATGGATGAAGATGATGATGATGAGGAGGAGATGGAGGAAGAGGAGGATGCGGCAAGTAAAGAAGCAAATAAGCCAGTCTCAGACATGGAGGTGAGTACAGTTGTCTTGAAGATGGGCAAATTGCATGTTGACTGAAACATCTTGAATGGGATTGGGCACTTTGCACGGAGAGGACAACTTCGTAGGGGTAGTAGCAGTGTTGTGGTAGAGTCTATGACAGTTCTGGTCACAAATAAATCACAAGTCCGGTAACAAGTAACTGGGGATAAGGAAATATCAAAGAAATTGATAAATTGTGATAGACTTGTGAGGACTTGCGAGGTCTTGTGAGGACTTGTGAGGACTTGCGAGGATTTGTGAGGACTTGCAAGGACTTGTGAGGTCTCGTGAGGTCTTGTGAGGTCTCGTGAGGACTTGTGAGGTCTCGTGAGGACTTGTGGGGTCTCGTGAGGACTTGTGGTGGATTTGTGAGGACTTGTGAGAACTTGTTATGACTTTTGAGGACTTGTGATGACTTGTGAGGATTTTGATGGACTTGTGAGGACTTGTGATGGACTTGTGAGGACTTGTGGGGTCTCGTGAGGACTTGTGGTGGATTTGTGAGGACTTGTGAGAACTTGTTATGACTTTTGAGGACTTGTGATGACTTGTGAGGATTTTGATGGACTTGTGAGGTCTTGTGAGGTCTCGTGAGGACTTGTGAGGTCTCGTGAGGACTTGTGGGGTCTCGTGAGGACTTGTGGTGGATTTGTGAGGACTTGTGAGAACTTGTTATGACTTTTGAGGACTTGTGATGACTTGTGAGGATTTTGATGGACTTGTGAGGACTTGTGATGGACTTGTGAGGACTTGTGATGGACTTGTGGTGGACTTCTGATGGACTTGTGGGGGACTTTCGATGGTCTCAGCTACAACATTTCAATATGCTCTGACCACAAGTTCATGACTGAAACATCAAGTTAATACCACTGGTTCTTATAAGATCAAACTTCACTTTTTAAGCTTGTCAGTTCACATGGTCTTTCAGCCTCAATTGTTGTATAAAGTAGCATTGTGCACTGAATTCACATTTATCATTCTTACATTTGAATCTCAATTTGTAGTATCTACAAAGCAAGATGGTGAAGAAAGCAGCTCCCGTTGACACAAAGAGTGACACGGACAGTGACACGGACAGTGACATGGACAGTGACACAGATAGTGATGCAGACAGTGGGAAAGACTCATTGTCTGAAGATGAAGAGAAATCAACCAAGAAAGAAAAACCTCAGGTGCAAACACAGGAAACACCGAAGGTAAAATAAGATTCAATTCATTTCTTTAAAAAAAAAAACATTAACCATCGATACCATAGAATAATAATGTCATGCTTTTTTTGGCTTTGCAGTCTTGAAGCATTTCTTTGATTAAAATCAAAACACATGATGGTCTTTTGGTCCATTAAAGGGCTGCTAAGCTCTGAAAAAAAGGGGGGGTTACTTTATGTCATTGAATTTTTTTTTAAACACTTGGTGGTCGAATTCCCAAGGGTTTTTTTTTTCTTTGTATTTCAGTACTGGGATACAATTTTGAAACAGAAGCCCTTACAGCTTTAGACATAGGTATGTCTGTAAACCACGGGTCGCATTGTTCACTCTCTTGTTATTGTTTTTGGTCACGCAGACAAAGCTAATGAAAGCAGTGAAGAAAGATGACAAGTTTGATCGCGGTCAGTACGTGCTCAAGATGAGAGGTGTGCCCTTCAGCGTCAAGGAGGTAAGGACTTCTTCAGGCTGACGCTGAACCAAATAATATTAAGAGCCAGTTTAGTAGTTCCAACAGATTTTGGTTTCAGACAGAAATCGTCATTATTGCAGAGGTTAAGTTTCAAGTTTTTTCACGACTGTGTACGCCTAACTCCCACTTTACGTTATGGACATGAACATCACCATCACCAAAGTTTGTGTTGAGAACACGCATATAAGTAAGGAATGTTGGCCTTCCTCGTAATGTGAAGAAAAGGGAGAAAACCTCTTCATTTCTCACGCATGCAAAATGTTAAAGACTGATAATGAAGTTTGCTAAGGCCAAAAAAAATAATAAGTCGGTCTCTGGTCAGCGCGCGCGTCGATTTTAATCATGCGCGTCGATCTTTTTTTTTCCAAAATGTTCCGCGGTAGCTCCAAAAGCGCCCTCTATTTCCGCACCTCAATTTTTTTTTTACCAAAGAGCACCAAGGAATGGGAAATTAAACCATGGCAAATGATCGAAAGCACCAAGGCAAATTATGGAGGACACCAATGTACATGGGGACACCAAAAAAGCAAAATAGTACCCCACCTTGTCTGTACAATCCAAGCTTGAAGGGAAAAAAAAAAGCCGCGTCAATTCCGGAACTTTGGTCTGACCAGAGACCGAATATTTTTTTTTTTGGCCTAATAGCAGAAGTATTTTTCAACATTTTTAAAAAGGTTGGCATACACAGATTCTATTAAATGCCCGCTTCATATCAGTTCTGTTCCGCGTACACTATTTCAGGCTTTGCTCTGCGGTTACATATGGGTCGATGTGGCTGGCTGCCTAAGGTGCCTTTACATGCCTTCGGCTTGACCACGTTGTAGCCGCGTCCTTCGCAATTCAGCTTCTCAGCTGCGAGTAAGGATGATTAGCCCCCCAAATTATTATTATTATTATTACTAGCAAGAACACAATGCTTCCAGTACATGTTGTCGTACACAGTAAAGCAAAACGCATGACTTAACCTCTTCAATATTTCATTGACAAGACTGGGGCTCTCAATCTTTGGTTGTAGTAGATAACTGCTTCAAACATCAAATTTTTCTCGTATTTAACCACATCTTTACAAGAATTGGATTCATCATGACTCCGGAGTGCCAGTCTGGTTCTAGTGTAAGCCTACATCACATCTTTTATCAGTGAAAGTTTATCACAAAGGTTTACTTTCATATTCTATGCTGTCAAGTCTAGTAATGGCTTTCTTTTTGCAAAAAAAATTTGGAGCAAAAATTTCATTGTTTTTCTTTTTTTCCAGAATGACATCAGATCTTTCTTTGCCCCAATTGCAATCAAGGCCATCCGGATTCCCCTGAATGAGAAGAAACAAAGAACAGGTAGGAAAAAGAATTCATAATTAATCTCATCAATGAAAGTCTTCTTTTTTTCCTTCAAATATTTACTGGTATTTTACAATGTGCCAATATTTTCTCAGGCAGTTGGAATTGTCAGATTGAGCCCTGGGCCCAATTTCATAGCGCTGCTTAACAGCCGACTTTGTGCTTACCGAGCCTCCATCTATTTCATAGGGACTGTTAAGCAGTATGCACAGCAAAAGCAGGCTTAACCTCGGAAGAAAACTTTCCTTAAATCAGTGACGTTACAATAGAAATCTCCATGCGCGAGCAACTGTAAGCACATTCACGGCATGAAATAGTGCTTAAGAAGCAGCATGATTTTCTGCTATAGTAAGCACAACTTTTCTGCTTACTGTTAAGCAGTGCTATGAAATTGGGCCCTGATCATTAGTGACATATTCACTTCCTCTTCTTTGCCTCTTTTCTTACAGGGATGGCATTTGTGGAGTTGAACACAGAAGCAGATCTTGTCCAAGCCTTGAAGAGAAATAAAGATTACATGGGTAAGAAATCCAGAAGCCAAAAAAATTGATGAAAGTTATATACAAACATACAAAGGGGTCAAAGGTCAAGGAAAGGTCATCATGGACATTTAATCCTAACTCCTAGGGGGTGTGTAAATCGTTTTAAAATTGTGGCATTCAGGACTGTTTGGGTAATGAAGAAAAAAAATCTTACATGTATTTAGTCCAACATTTGTCAGCTGATTTTAACATGGACCATACTTTAAAATTACTGTTTTCAAAATGTTTTGTGATTTTTATATCTCTCTGTAGGTAAACGTTATATAGAACTGTTCCGAGATGAGTGGAACCAGGGAGGACAGCAGGGTACCAGGGAACGTGAGGCACCGTGGGCCAAGCAGGTTAGTCAGCGACGTTCAATGTTGTAGTAAATATTTCCTGTCAGAGATCAAGACTTTTGGATTTTGTGTTCACGATTAAGACCATGAAATTTTCAACCCAGGACTAACGTGTGGATTGGGTTTCAGTCCCTACCTGATTCCATGGGCTTTCCCTTGAATATCCTTTCAGTATTTTCCTCCCACCTCAGAAAAATTAAACATTTCTTCATCATCTTCTCCTTCTAGGTACTTCATGCTTCAGAGCTACAGTACCTGTGCACTTTTGAAGAATCCTTAGTTTCATTTATAGGAAGAATTATACAACGCCTGAATAAATCCCCGTTATCTGATTGGCTTGTTGTTGATCATGTATCAGTGAATTATTCTTCCCAATGCACAGCGAAGCTGCTCGGCTAAAATTGACGTTCCATTCCACGGTAAATGGAAATTCCATTGTACTGTCACATGTTTGGCGGCTCTGACCAATCAGATGAGTGGGATTTATTCAGGTGCTGTATACAACAAATAATGAATGTTTCACACTCCGGAAAGAATAATTTCATTCTGTGACAGATGGAATGTTCCATTCCACTCGGCTTCGTCTCATGGAATGGAACATGCATTGGTCACCTCATGAAATTATTCTTACCATTGCACTCATCAACATTCATTATTTGTTTATTAAGATAAGATAATAAAACTAAATAAAATACCGAGTCAAGACCAAGACAGAGACCTTGATTTTTGACTTCAAATATTAGACTGAAACGACAAAAACAACACATAAATGATTTGTCTCTGCACCAACTTAATTTTTGTTTTTCCATATTTCACAATTCTTGTATTGCAGGCAGCCGAGTTGGAAAGCTCTGACGAACCAATAGGAGAGGTGAATACAAGCCACTATTTCATTTTTATCAAAACAGGACTTCCGTTGGCTGTAGATTTTGTATTCAGCCATTATTATTGCTCTGAAATTGCCAGAATAATGCATTGTACATGGACTTGTTTTTATCTGTTTAACTTATTGCCAAATTATCATATTTCTGTTTCTGCAACTTGTTGTTTTGATACACAGACTGGAAGATTATTTGTTCGGAATCTGCCCTACGTTTGCCAAGAGGAAGACTTGGAAACACTCTTCAGCAAATATGGTATGCTAAAACGTGGTGTTGTGTTTAAAATTTTGAAGATCTCTTTATGTTTACTTAGCTAATTGAGTTGTTTGACAGCTGCCTTTCTTGACATTAACCCTAACCCTAGGCCCTTTTTTGTTAGGAACCATCCTCATTCCTGCAAAATCCTCCAATTGCCACCATGTAAAATTGGATTCAGCCTCAATTCTCCAAAATCATCCGTTATTTCGTGAATTCGTTCAGTGGAGGGGTGACCATTGCCTCAATCCTTCGAAATCCTCCAACAATCACTGTTAATATGTTAATGCAGTGCCAATGATATCCAGTAATTGCGGGCCTCACTTATGCATGGCTGAACATAAACAATGCAGGGCACAGCCTAGGACCTCAGCACAATGCATCCTCTATCAACTCACACTTTCAGCCGTTCAGCCTCAATCCTCCAAATATCCTCCAAAACTGCTTGGTTGATTTTGGAGGATTGAGGAGGGTTAAGGTTAATGGCTGTCTCCCATCCCTATCGAGGTGGATAGACGAAGTGCCAAATTCATGGAGTGGCTATACTCACAAGTACGTTGAGGAAAAAGAAATTATTTTTAGCAAAAACAAAATTATCCCAAATCGGACGGTCAGATATATTTCTTGTAACTTTCTCATCTGATTGTGTGCTGCACAGATATCTTTATTTCGCCGCATAGCAATATTTGCAGCCTCCCACCTTAAAAAATAACTCATCCATGTCTTGTTTGGAACAATATCTCCTTTTATTTCAGGCCCACTGACTGAGGTGAACCTACCCATCGATCCACTGACCAAGAAGATCAAAGGTTTTGCTTTCATCACCTTCATGATGCCTGAGCATGCAGTCAAGGCCTTCACTGACCTGGATGGCAAGACGTTTCAGGTCAGTCGCGCTTCCTCATTGTTGATCTTGAAGAGATTATCATGATGAAATGCCTTTACATTATTCACACAGTTCAGAAGTTAATCCTACTTTTCTGACTCTTTGCTTCTCCAGATGTTGCTGTAGCTGTAGTGCAGATTTCTGTAAAAAATTGAATCCTTAACACTAACTCCCTAGGGTGTGTAAAAAAATCATATTAATATTTGAGGATTCCTTACAGTTAAGGTTAATTAATATATACATATTTCACAGGAAAAGTTGAAAAACCAGGAAAAAATCCTTGAAAAAAATGAAAATCTACAAAAGTCCAGTATTTTTTTGTCCTGGAATAAGTATAGAAGAGTATTTCTAATTTAGGTACCTTATTACAGCTTCCTGCAAAAGCCCTGAAAAATCACCAAATGTCTTTCTCTCCTGCAACACTGCAGGGAAGGCTGCTTCACATTCTGCCAGGTAAGGAGAAGAAGACTGCGGAGGCAGAAGGCGGAGATAGAGAGGGATCATCTTATAAGAACCAGAAGAAAGCCAAGGAGAAAGCAAGAAGTGGGAGGTACAGTAGGGCAGAAGATGTAATTGAGATCTACACAAGTCATTCACAAAGTCCATCACAAAGTCAAATTATAAATCATTCACAAGTCCATCATAAGTCAAATTACAAGTCATTTACTAAGTCCATCACAAGTCAATTATGAGTGTAGTACTAGTCAAATCACATGTCAATCACAAGTCCACAACAAGTCTGTCAAAGTCAAATCACAAGTCATTCACAAAGTCCATCACAAGTCAATCACAAGTCATCCACAAGTCCATCACATGTCAATTATGAGTCTATCACTAGTCAAATCTCAAGGTAATCACAAAGGATGTCACAGTGTAATCATAATTCTACCACAAGTCGGCCACAAGTCACTCACAAGTCAATCACAGGTCGGTCACAAGTCAATCATAATTCTACCACAAGTCGGCCACAAGTCACTCACAAGTCAATCACAGGTCAGTCACAAGTCACTCACAAGTCAATCACAGGTCGGTCACAAGTCAATCACAAGTCAATCACAATTTAGTCACAAGTCGATCACAAGTCAGTCACAAGTCTATCATAAGTCAAAGCTTAGGTAAATCACAAGTCAGTCACAAGTCAATCACAATTCAGTGACAAGTAATCACAATTCAGTGACAAGTCATCACAATTCAATCATAGTTATATCACAAGTCAATCACAAGTTAATGACAAGTCAGTCATAATTCAATCACAAGCCAATCACAAGCCAATCACAAGTCAGTCACAAGTCCAATCACAAGTCCAATCGCAAGTAACAATGCTTGAACAATTTAAAATGTATGCCCCAGTCGACAATCTCTTCTCTTTAGGATAGTTTTTGTGACTTGACTTGCATCTTGGTGACTAATGATGACTTGTGATGACTTCTGATTACTTGATTTCAACAATACAACAGGATTAGTAAGCCTTACAAACCTCATATGTAGCCCTTATTTCCTGGGTATTTTTAACTGACAATATTCCAGAATTTCAGAATCCACCTCTGTTGATGAACCCAAGGTGGTCTTTTATGTTTAAATTTCTAAATGTTGATTTACTCATCTATTCACACTGCCCAGAAATGTCAACTCTTCTTGTTTTCCTCTATTTTTTGAATAATTAGTTCTCACAACTGGAATTCCTTGTTCATCGGATCGGATGCCGTAGCAGAAGCCATCGCCCAGAAATACCAGACGACGAAAAGCCAAGTCCTAGACACTGTAAGCATCTACAGGCATTGTTCAATATTTCTTTATTTAGTTCACTGGTTCAACAACCCATGAGTGACCACTGATCACACTTTTTCCAGTTTAAAGCACATATTATTTCATAGCTTTTTTACAAATTTGTGAGGTTTTCTGGCAAAATGAGACGGCACTGGGCACAGGCCGTAGTGGAGCAAATGCAAAAAAAAATGAATGGGGGTGATTTTTTTTTTTTTTTGATTTTCAGATTTATGCATATTTGTAATCTTTGATATGTCTGCTACACATTTGTTCAAGATATAGTATAAAATATGTTGGATAAAAGTGTTTTTAAGGAAAAGACAATTGGCATCTTTCATTTTTGCGAAAACATGCCATTTTTGTAAACAGCCATAACTTGTCAACGAAATGCCAGATTGAAGTACTACAACCAGTATTGCCAGGAGTATTTTATTCTCTTTCCTAACACCAGCAAAACCTCATTTCGACCTCTGCCCAGTTCTGTCTCATTTTGCCAGAACGCGTCACAATTTGTGAGTTTGTTACAAATTCTACATTTCAAACAAAACTTCATGATGTAAATTGGTAACTTTTTTTCAAGTTCTATGCCAAAACTGTAAGGTTGGAAAATGTTGAAAAAGGACAAAAATTCAAAATCTATTATTGAAATTCTTTATTTTCAGACACCCTAGCAGGGTTAGTTTATATTAATGATATTTGTTTTTCTTTTTACACCAGGAGACAGGCCGAAGTCTAGCTGTCCGGATGGCCCTTGGTGAGACACAAATCGTTGCTGAGACAAGACAGTTTCTCCTGGATAACGGTGTAGCTCTGGACTCATTCAGTCAGGTAAGTGTAAATTTAAAGCAGTTTAAATGCCTGAAAATATTTTAACTTAAAAATTTCACTTCAAAAATTAAAACAATGTGGCAGATAACCGTACATATTCAATTTTGTGAAATTTCTCTCGTCATTCAAATTTAACTGTTTGTTTGGGGCTTTTTTATGAACGAGCCAAGGAAGACATTTAACAAGGACTGGAACTCTACAAATTCTGTCACGAGTAAAATAATTTACTTTAAAAAAATTCATTTACTTCAAATACAAAACTGTGAGTGTCTTGTATCAACCTTGATAATTTGTGCAATGACAGGCTCCACGACGATCACAATTTGCTGGTTAAATAGGTCATTTTCAGTCGCTATGTCCAACGTATATATGATTGCACAAGTTACGCCATAATGTTTTGTGCAAGTCGTGGATTTACACACTATAAAACCTTTTGTGAAATTGTCATAACTGAAATGTTGCACAGCGGGAAATGTTGTACATCTTGCGCAATAAATTGTGGCGCAAGTGGAGTTACGTCATTGCGTAAAGTTTCCTGAAATTGGGTGCAGCTGTTTTGAGCAAATTGTGCCTCAGAAGTAAGCCTGCTGTAAGGCCAAAAAAAAAAATATTCGGTCTCTGGTCAGACCAAAGTTCCGGAATTGACGCGGCCACGCGGCTTTTTTTTTTTTTTTTTGCTTTTTTTATTTTCCTTCAAGCTTGGAATGTACAGACAAGGTGAGTACTATGTGTCCTCATGTACATTGGTGTCCTCCATAATTTGCCTTGGTGCTTTCGATCATTTGCTTTGGTGCAATTTCCCATTCCTTGGTGCTCTTTGGTAACAAAAATTGAGGAGGTGCGGAAATAGAGGGCGCTGTTAGAGCTACCGCGGAACATTTTGGAGAAAAAAAAGATCGACGCGCATGGTTAAAATCGACGCGCGCGCTGACCAGAGACCGACTTATTTTTTATTTTGGCCTAACCTTTGCTGATAACATACAGTCTCTCTAAATGGTGAATAACAGACGCTGTTAGCAAAACATTGCACGCTTCGCAGGACCATGGAATTAGACCCTGCTGTTGAAATTTGGTTTTAGTGTTTATAGGTATGAAGTTGGACCTTTTTGTTAAATTTTTGAAAATGTTTTTTTTTCCCAGCCGTCCGGTTCAAGAAGCAAGACCGTTATCCTAGTCAAGAACCTCCCTGCAGGTACCCAAGCCACAGAGCTCAGGGACCTGTTTGCCGGCCACGGTAGTCTAGGGAGGGTCGTCCTACCCCCAGCCGGGGTGACAGCGATTGTGGAGTTCATTGAACCAACAGAGGCCAGGGCTGCGTTCTTCAAGCTGGCTTACACAAAGGTCTGTTGACAGTATCTTGCTTTGTAAACTTTGTTTGATAATGCTTTTTATCTTCACGCCAAGCCACAAAATAAGCAGAGAAATTGACTGGACTTGAACACGAGATCTCTTGAGCACTATGCCAGCATTCTACCAACTCAATTCTCCTGCCCCATGTTGGCTGTCACACTGTTTGTCAATGTTCTCACTTTAAACCTAACTTCCTAGGCATATTTGTTAGGATGCAATCTCAATTCTGCAAAATCCTCCAACTGCCTCCATGTCAAAATTGCATACAGCCTCAATCCTGCAAAATCCTCCGTTATTTCTTGAATGTGGTCCTTGGAGGGGTGACCACTGACTCAATCCTGCAAAATCCTCCAGCAATCACTGTCAATATGTTGAGGCAGAGCCAGTGACATCCTGGAGCAGTAGGGAGGATTTCAAGTATAATCTAGGCCTAAATTTATGCACGGCTGAGCATAAACAACACAAGGTTTGGCCCAAGACCTTGACCCAGTGCATCCTCCAAAATCAGCCACACATTTTTGTTATAGCTTCAATCCTGCAAAATCCTCCATTTTGCAAAGAGGATTTTGGAGGATTTAGGAAGGTTAGGTTTAAAGGTCAAAAGCCATGATACCCATTTGTGCCAACATTAGCTGTGCTGCAAACCTGGGAAATTGTAATCAGGGATCGCTGAAAGAGAATACAGTATTATAATTCAAATCATGAAGAGAAACACAGGGGAAACTTTCGAAGATTAGTTCTAATAGATATGAGGAAAGTATTTTCTGTGGCACTACATATGCTCAAAGTAGTGCTGGTCAGAGGAAATGTTTGTTGAAAATCCAGTGGTATTAAATCTTGACCTTACATAGCTGACCTCTTTTTGTATGCAGTTCCACCATGTTCCCCTCTACCTGGAGTGGGCACCAGTCAACGTTTTCAAGACGGAGGCCTTGTCAGACCCCGCAGCAGATGACACAAAGGGTGACAGACAGAGTGAGGAACACACACAAGAGGAGGGTGAGCAGAGAACGGAGGCCAATCAGCCTGATGCCGAGAACAAAAGCACAAGTAAGTCTGGTTTCCCAGTTATCTCTTTGTTTCTGTGCTGTATTTTGCATTGTGGCTCTATAAGTCAGCAACAGGAACCATGTTCCAACCTGAAAAATAAACTGTCAGTTTTCAGGCTTTGTTGATATCCAGACATGTACATATAAATAAAGGTCCTATGACCAGCACCATGCAACAGTATATATGTATGCATTCACCTTCAAAATTCCACAAGTTGTCCTTTGCCATGCCCTCTCACCCCCATCCCCTCCTAAATCCTCCCCCCCCCCACACCCCTTACCCCCTCACCCCGAACTCACCCCCCTCCCCCCCCCCCTCCCCCCCCCCCCCACCTTTCCAAACTTGTTAAGCGAAGAATTTGGACAGAAATTTGTTTGCTTAGTTTAAAAACCTTGCCTCTCTGAAACAGTGGTTCTTATGGAGAACCAGTCTCATGGAGAATTTGTACATATGTTAAACTTGAAAATTGTACAGCTGTTATAAAGCTGCTGACAATTTTTGTTTTCTTTTACAGAAGAGGATGCTGAGGAGGAGGAGGAAACAGAGCCAGAGACAACGATATTTGTCAAAAATCTCAACTTTGAGACAACAGAGGAGTCCATAAGAAAGGTATTTCTTTCCTAGTCTGTTTCTTCGTGTTGGCATGGCTTCAGCAGGTTACATTGGGGAATCCTATCCACAGTGCACTCTCAGTAATCATCTTCACTCCAGCCTGTGCATACATTTCATTGTTTGAGAACATTTTAGCAAGATTTTGTTATTCTTTTTGTCAAAGTAAAAAAGCAGTGTGAAAGGAAAAAATACTGAAATTTGATGTTAAAAAGTATCAGGCAATCCAATATGAAAATAGTACCATGAACTTAAAAAGGTAATAAACAACATTTGCTTTTGCTGTTATTTTCGGAAATGGATGGATTTGGGGGTTAGTATTTTATAGCAAATATTGTTGCGCTGACCTGTTTAAAGTTTTTTGTTCATAGATGCTGGAAAAACCTTGTTCTTGTCGTGTGGTTCCCTGACCCTACTTTGGATGAAACAGAGCAATTTATTGAATTGTCAGGTCAAGGAACCAGACTAGCTGGCTTACACCCGTTCACGGATGTGTAACAGATTGCAAACAAAATGTGGACTAACTAAATGTGGTAAATTGGGGGCAGTGTTTAAAGAAAAAGAAAAAATCACTTTTTTTTTCAATGATGGTCGGCCAACCATCGTTTGAAATTGATACTAAAATTCCACTTTTCTTGAAAATGACAGCACACCAGGTGCCATGATTTGAGATCCCTAAGGCCTGACATGGCTCCTAAAAATATCTTAAAACCTTTACGTTTTCTACTTTGCAGTTATTTTCTCAGTGTGGACATTTGAAATCGGTGACAATATCACGCAAGAAGGACCCAAAACATCCAGGTAAAAAACAAATGACATTTAAAAAATATTCCTGTTAGTTTGTTTATCCATACATTAAGCATCAGTGTTTTGTTTGTGTGATCATTTGGGGGTAGGTTTAGATGGTGGTACTTTCCTTCCACATCTGTAATCTGAGTTATTATTATTATTATTATTATTCATTTCTGGTAATGAAACCAAGGATTCCTCAAAAGCGCCCTAGGCACTGTAGCTCGCAAGCCTGTAGAAACCTGTAGAGAGAAGACAATGAGAAGAAATTACAGTTTAAGAGGTGGGAGGAAAAGCCCAGAAGAATATTCTGGGGAAAATCCAAGGAATCAGGCAGGGACTACCTGGATATACTTCTCAGTACCTACCTGATTACTAAAATTCATTTCTTTTCAATTTGTAGTTTTGGGGTTTTATGTCAGTGTTTTAATAGTGGGTTTTTATAAGCATTGTCAACTCAGTGTATTTATTTATTTTTGAATTCTTATTTTAACTGGGTAGTCCATTCAGTGGAATCCACTGGTCTCCCGTGGGGCCCAGTAAAATGAAGAAATTACAGTCTTAGACGTGGGAGGAAACCCACGGAATCAGGTAGGGACCGAAAACCCAATCCACATATTGGCCCAGGTGGGATTCGAACCCGGGTCACAGCGGTGGAAGGCGAGGAAAGTACCGCTACTCCAACCTGACTCCCAAGGTGTATACAAGAGCTTTTTAAAAAAGAAATTAAAGCTTTAACCGTTGAAGGGCAAAACCCGATATTAAATGTTTTTCCCCAACGTGAAATTCCATGACTAGGAACGATGTTGTCCATGGGGTACGGCTTTGTGGAGTACAAGAAGAGGAAATCCGCCCAGAAAGCTCTGAAGGAATTACAGCACAGTACGCTGGATGATCACAGTCTGAAGCTCAAGCTATCACACAGGGCCACCTCACAGTAAGTATGGACTTCACACATGCGTGATAGAAGGTGCTATAAGGCCTCAGGCCCTTAAGTGAAGGCCATCAGTTCATGGTGTCGGTGACAAATGTTTTTTTATACATTTTTCCACACGGAGAGTGTTTTTCCAAAACGCGATAATACGCCATTTCCTTTTAGAATCATGCTCTCTCTCTCTTGGTTGCCCAGAAGCAATGTCCACGGCTGTTACGTATACCTGGCACGATTTGTGGCTGAGTGATACCCCCCTCCCCCATGTCCCTATACCCTATACACACCCTAGACTATAGCTAACTAGCACATCTCCCCAGATATCTCAAAAGAATTCATGAGCATCTGTTTATGACCAACACAAAAGAGGGGGTTCCCTCCGTCACATATCTTGCTACATATGCTGTTATACACTTAAACACAACTTAAGAATATAATGAAGCAAGAAAACTGAAGAAAATGAAGTTTGGAAACAGCTGTTGTACTGTTTTTATTCTTTAAAGTTTTATAAATGTGCAAAATGTTCACCATATTCAAAATGGATATGTCACGTTTTTGGAAATAGGTAATTCTTCACATTCACTGCAACTTTTAAGGACACTGTCCAACAACTTAGTGTAGTACAAAGTGCGACCTCAAATGGATGTTGACTTTTTCTCATGATGCACTTTAAGTATAGGAACATTTAAACTTCAAACAACAGATTGCGCTTTTTGTCCGTTTCATCAATCACAATCAGTGGTATTCAAATCAAAACTTGGCCTTGCCTTGAGATATGTGACTTTATTTGCTTTTATTTATTTTTTTCCCATCAGAGCAACTCCCGCATCTTCCCGGAAGGGAGCCGGAAATATAAAACAGAAGTCCAGCAAAATCCTGATCCGGAATATTCCATTTGAGGCCAAGAAACAGGAGATACAAGAACTGTTTGGGTAAGTCTTCCTCAGCAAAAGCATGAGTTCAGCATCAGCTTTCAATTTGAAATTCCGTTTGCTTTAGTCTAGACCGTGAATATTTGCAGATTTAAAAAAGAGAACCCATTATGTAAATTTCAATGACTATTTTATTGTACGTTATTTGTATAAAGGCAATATAAGTCATTTGTAACCCCCAAACATGTCATTTGTTTACATTAGTTTTCTAGACTTTAATTGAACAACACTCTGAGTTTGTTTTTCACTGTGTAACAGGGGGTTTTTTTGGGGGGGAAGGGTGGTTTAATGATCGCATCGTTGATCCATACTTTTGTTGCCTTTCTATTCCTCAGTACCTTTGGTGAGATCAAGTCCGTCAGACTGCCCAAGAAGATGAGTGGGACCGGTTCCCACCGAGGCTTTGGATTCGTGGACTTCCTCAGCAAGCAAGATGCAAAGGTTTGCTGCAGGCGTTTTCTTTTTAACCTCTGACAGAACATCACCGAAATCCTTTGTTTCCATGAAAAAGTCTGTACCAACTTTCTGGCAGGCAGAACTCTGCTGCTGTCATTTTTTGTTCACTTGAAATTGAAGCCCTACCTAGAATTTTCAATCTGAACCTTGTGCAATACATTTGATATTAATAGAGAAGGTTTAACAAAAACCATGTTTTAGTTCTAGTGTCATAAAAAATTACATTCCTCCAAAACCAGATAAACTCATATCTGTTCATATACCGACCTTGTCATAATGTCACAAATAGCTTCTTTTATGGGCTCCGTGCGCCAACAAGAGGGCACGTTTTTACCTCTTTTGAGAGCTCCGTGGACAGGACACACAGCATGTGTGTAGTCAGTGTACTGTGCTGGTTCGTGTGCGAAGTATGCACAACTTCTTGAATGTACCAAAGCTATTGGCCACCGCATCTTCGCGTGAGCGTCAGGTGTCGTCGGCGCACGAATTTCCTACGAATTCAACTTGCGATGGTCTCCGAGACTAATCCGTGCCTCCAATAACTTTGGATACATTCAAAATCTGCAGTGATTGGACCGGGAACCAGTCTAGGTCATTCCCAACTCTCCTTTTCTGGTCATTGATGGGGTACATGTGCACTGAGCCCATATCGCTGTGCAGTGCGTGAAATTATGGTCGGACATCGGACATTTTCCGACCACTTTCATGGTTTGTCCGACCAAATGCAGATGTGCTCGGACAAAATGTCCGAGCGATTTATGTATTCTTTGTGGAGTTGTCTTTTTCAGAAGTATGAAATAAACGCTTGCGCTCAAAAGTATTTTGTTGTTTATTTCCGATGATCCGGTCTGTAATACTTACCGTACGCTGAGCAGCTGCTAACTACATGTTGTCTTATATTCACGCAATAGATGCAACGCGTTTACACCCCAATCATTACACAGTCTAGTACAGCGCGGCGTGCACACAGCGATAGATTGGCATTCGTACGTACGTACGTGCCATTTGCCAAAAAATAGACGTGAAATCAAGTCGATAAATTGTGTTTCGGTCAGCAGTCTTCGTGTTTCTTCTACAAATCAGTTAATACAACTTTTTGTACTTTTCAAGTCATTTTATGGAAATGAGCAGTGGCCGTTTGTGGAATTCCCAGTTAATTTCTATTTGGCAAAAGTGTTAAATTGGACCTGATTCAACCTCTATTCCTTGCTATAATGATTCGATCGAGCCTCTTTGGACATTCAGAACTGCAATTTCACCCAGTTTAAGTTATGTGTTCTGCAGACTTGAATCGAGTCTGTATAGTGACGAGTCTAAATATTATAAGGACATTGACGCGCATACATGTAATGAGAATTTAGCAAGATCAAAGTACGTTGTGTTGCGCGGTATGCTTTAAGTGCGTGATTGTTACTAAATTCTCACAACGTGGCTTACTACAGAAACGAGCGGGTGAATGCCCGGCGCTTGTCATTGCAACTACATAGTGTGTATTATGGATACGTACGTACGTAAACATACATACTGTACATGTACACACGTGTATGTACCGTCCACGTGTTTGAAGTATAGTAAACGCGGCCTTTTGAAAGTTCGTCTCAGATGGCAGATCAAAACTTGACAATGGCAGAACACTTTTGATTGTGCTCGGACATTTTGTCTGACCACTTTTTTGGTCTAATTTCACGCACTGCTGTGGGGTTTTTTTTTTGGGGGGGGGGTTTGCTCTCACCAATGTATTTTTATCAACACTGTATACTCAGTTGTGTCTTAGTGTTTGTGCGAAAAAAAATTCTCAAGCTTACTTGGGTAGGATTCGAAGCCATGACCTCTTGCTTACTAAGTCAGACTTGAACAGCTGCTACGTCAGACTCGAACCAGCCAGCTGACCCCAGGAAAGCTTGGTGGTTGAGTGGTAAGATGTCTGCATTAGTAAGCAAGACGTTGTGGGTTCAAGTCCCACCCGAGTAATTTTCAGAAAACGCTGGGTAGACAGTGTTTATAAAATACATTGGCGAAGAGCAAAACAAAACAAAACTCAATTTAAAATCTCCTCGGCACAAAATTCAATCTTATGAAGTAGTTTCTTGTTGCAGTATATTGACTTATTGTGAAATAAGCAGTGGCTTTTGTTTTATGACGAACAAACAAATTACACCTGACCCATCTTAAATTTCATGTTGTGTACTTGTCGTCAACAGAGGGCGTTTGAGGCTCTGTGCCACAGCAGCCATTTGTATGGGCGTCGGCTTGTCTTGGAGTGGGCGGAGGCCGAGGAGACAGTGGAAGACCTTCGCAAGAAAACTGCTGATCAGTTCATTGAAGGTATTCCGCATTTGGAACAGAGGATTCACAGCACAAAGATTTAATAGTTTCCATGATGTCGTGTAAAGCACTCCTCATCAAACTGCAATGTGATTTTGCACACTTGTTTTTAGGACACAAAGTACAATAAACATTACCAAGTAAAAAAAGTAAAGTATATCCTGTGCCAATAATGCCCATCAGGCCAGCGTTTATCTCCGGTTTCCTTGGCATGAAACGACTGAGAATATTTCTATTCCCCCTGGATGTGATGCTAGGCTGGTACCCATTTATACTCCTGGGTGGAGAGAGGCAAGTAATAATAATAATAATAATAATAATTTGGGAGGCTAATCATCCATACTAGCAGCTGGTATGCTGAATTGCGAAGGACGCGGCTACAACGTTGTCGGGCCGCTGGCACGTACAGGCGCCTATGGCTGCCGGCCACATCGACCCATATATGACCACGGAGCACAGCCTGAGATCGAAAGTGGGGTTGAAGTGGCTTGCCCAAGGACACAACACATGACAAGCAACTGGACTGGAAGCCCTGATCATGAGTCACGAAAACTTACCTCTAGGCCAAACTTATCCCGTTACCTAACTATCACCAAACCATATCTCCTCTGTCGAGTACAATCATGAAATGAGTCTTAGAGACAAAGGATCTGGCACTATCTCTGCATGTCTACCTTCCCCCACTCTCAACCTTACAAAAGAAGGAAATACAACCCCCAAAAAAACCACGAAATCATCAATTATCAGGTTTAACAAAGAAGTTGACTTGAACACTGTACTGGCACTGAATGTTGCCCATAAATGCAGACATTGACAAATTTGAAGACCTCCAAAAGAAAGCAAGGTAATGGTATGTCAGTTGATAAAGTGCTGATATGGTTTTCAAAGGTTACAGGTTCTAACGTGTCTCAGTCAATTTTTAGTGTTTCCCTTGTTTTAAATTTATTAAGAACTTGCAATTTTGTAAGAAATGTGTGAGAGAAAAATTGATTGAGTAGGTTGGTTTTGAGAAGAAGAGAGACAGGTCCTGAATTATCTTCAATTTCTCTGGAAAGAAATTCCAGAGACTTGGTGCAAACCTGGAAAATGCACGGTCTCCATATTCCTTTTTTTTCCACAGGTGGTCAGAGAAAAAGACTGAAGAAGTCCAAATTAAAGGAGGACCTAGAACTGACCATGTCTAGGAGCTGATCGAACCAAGACAACATCTGCAAACTGGTAAGTCAGACCTTATGCTTTCATTTTTCAAAGCCTTAAATTTGCATTCCCGTGCTATTTTCAAGTTTCATCCCGAAAAATGGATTTCTTTACTAAACTGCTACTTTTCTAGTGATACAAAAGTTATTCACTTTTGAATGAGATATCAGCCGAAAAAAAAATTGACCCATGTTTAGTTATTGAATTGTTACTTTACAATTTCGAATTATTGGCTGCTAGACAATAATTCTGTTTTCACAGGGTAGGCTGGTTCCCGCCCCACAATCAGTATCAATAATGTACAGATCGGGAGCCAGTCTGCTTGCAAAGCAGATCTGTTTGTGCCAAAATCAAAAGCCTTTCTTCTGAGGGTTGCAGAGGTACGAAAAAAGGGAATAAGGAGATTTTTGGGTTGGAATAAAACAAAAGTTTTGAATTTGTTTTATTGAATTTGATAAAGAACACAGGGAATGCAACTTTAATTGGCTAGCCAAATTCAGGCCCAGAATTCCTGACATGTATTTTCTTCCAATAAGTTAAATGATGCACATGTAAATCATTATTTGGATAATAGGCTATCATGGGTGCACACCGGTAAATCGATCCGCCAAGCTCATGATTAAAAGTTATACCCTCAAAATATTCTATATTAGAGAGTTCTGAGCGCCGTAAAATTGGGGAATTGAAGAGATATGGTAATGAACCTCTGGCTCGGACTTGGGGCTTCCAATTCTGAGCATTTTGGATGCTATTGGGCTCGAAAGTGGCGCTATTTTGCCATGTTGTGGAGGGATCGTTTTTCAAGATGGCTACTTTTCCGCTTTGGGGAATATAGGGGTCGTCTTCTTTGCGTGAAAATATCTCGAAAAGTCAATGGTCAACCCACCAAAAATTGAAAAGAAAATGAAAGATGACACATTGATCATCATTTTTCTGTGCAGCTTGAATACCTGTGAGAGTTTTGAGTATTTTTAAAAGAATTTTGAAGTATGGGCATTTAGCACTAGTGTCTATGGGAGTTTATTTGCAGGTATGCATCCTCATGAACACATTGTAATGCCATTTTGGTTAGTACCATTAATGTGCAACACTGCCCTCTGTTGGCCACATTGAACTTTTTGATGATCAGGATTCCATTTGTGATGTTGTATGCTGCCCTCTGTTGGCCACATTGAACTTTTTGATGTTCAGGATTCCATTGGTGATGTTGTATGCTGCCCTCTGTTGTTCAAACATCTCCAGTTTTCACTGGCCTTCAAAATGTCCTGCCAGATGGCCCTTATTTGCTCCTAATTGTCAGGTTGAAGTGGCTTTGGAAAGATTCTTGTCATATCTTATAACTTGGCATGCATGTCCCTATGTCAATATTTTGACGCTATCGCCGCCGCCTATTCGTGAGGGAATTTCCGTGACAACCGGGTTTGATACAATGGACCATTGGGCTCTGTTGTATGCACAGTCACAACATAATGATCCTCTCAAAAATGAGAGTCGAGTTTGTATGATGTTGTTGAGTTCAAGGAAAGAGGGAGTTTCGAGTTTCATGGAATTCTCTCAGGGAAAGTTGGCCATTCCTTCCTTCCCCTTTTCGTCACGGTACTCTCTGATTAGTTTATATGCTGAGAGAATAGACCACAAACATTTCAAGTAAGGTCTGTACCGGTAAGTCATGTTTCCCTCGAGAATATTTTAAAGTGAAATGGCATATTAATAGTAGTATTACTACAACTGCATAGAGAAGTCAAAACTGCAAGTTCAGTCTTTTTTTCCCTGTGAAATTTTCAAGGAGGTGCTCGGCCACGTTTGGTTAGACAGTCTCCAACCAGTATGCCTGTATTAGGGCACAATAGGAATAATAGCTATATCCGTATCGTTTCGGTTTGCGGTAACACCATGTGGTAATAACTACTGCTTAGAAGATATTTAGTTCTGAAAAGAACTTGTCCTGCTTGTTTTCAACTTTCGCTAAGTAGTTTTAGTTCTGATAAGAACAGTCCTGCTTTAAGTTCTAAAAGCTTTAAGTTCTAAAAGAACTTGTCTTTGGTCTCAACATTTCGACTAGCCTGCTCTAGTCATCGTCAGGAGACTGATAGCCCTACAATGTACCTGCATTATACCCAAATAACCGCCCCCCCCCCCCCCTTCCCCTCCCCTGCCCCAACAATTGAGCAAAGAAAAGCGCTCCTTTGTCTCAATCCACACTGTGATTTTGCTTTGGCTACTTTTACATTATAACTTCCTCATTTAACATCAGTTGGCCACAGCAAGTATGTAGCATCCATGTACTGTGCATTTGTAATACTGCCCTCTAGTGACTCAGATGATCTCTTTTTTGTTGTCGGACGGTTTCAAAATTACTGTTGGTGGAGTATAAATTTACCAAATATGAAGGAATTTTTTCCATGGCAAAGAGAGAGCAGAGTTTTGAGAACTTTTTGTCCTGTTTGAGTAAAGTTGTGAAGAAAAGAATAAAAGAAAAGGAAACGTTTTGACGAATCCATTTCTGAAATCTGGACCTTGGGTGTATCTCCTGAAGCTGACGTTTTGCTAGTGTTATATCACACACAAAATAGCGTGTTTGAGTATAAAGACACATCATTTAGATAAAAATCACTGTTGACAACTTTTGAGAAATTGATATAGGGCCTATAAATTGTCAAGTTAATGATAGTAGTTAAAGTAATGAATTAGGCAAATGTGTCACTCGCAAACTAATTAAAAAAAATTAGGAAGCCTTTCATACTGGGGTTAAAAAAAAAAATTTGTTTCCATTTTGTGTCTCATCAGTCTCATTTACAATATGTATTCATAAGGTTTGGAAAGCAAATGAGAACTTGGTTCAATAATAAAGATATGTGTACGTGTTTTTAAAAACCTGCAACTGTCTACCCTCCACCCCCCTTCAAAAAAAGATAACATACACATTCTCTACGTGTGTCTTAATGGACTACGTGTATCTTAATGGACTGTGTTTATCCCCCCTCTCCTTTCTGTGGTTTTTTTTGGGGGGAGGGGGCTGCCACTGAGATATCCCTTTGTTGGAAATGGATTCTCCACGCACAATTTCTCCACCTTTCATATTATCCGTTCATGCATTATGAACAAACATTTATTCATATCCTTTACCGTTTTTCACGCCAATCTGCCCGACCCACTCTGGAGCCTAATATCAGACCAAAATCCCCCATCTCCCCCCCCCCCCCCAAACTCCCGCTTCACCAAAACCCTCCATAAAGCCGCAGAAAAACCACCAGCATAAGTAACGTTATTCCCAGTTTGGGGTTCGGCGCCCAATAATAGAAAAAAAAAACCTCTAGTATAATCCAGTACCATTTTCCACTTAAGTAACCACGGAAACAGGATCTCTGCTTATCCCGGACCGCTCGCTGTGTGCTTGCCGTCGTTTCCCAAGTGGGCCCTCGAAAGTCAAACGTGGTTCAAAACCACCAGGGTTTTCTATTATTTTAGTTATTTTGGTCTTCGTTTCTCAACACAAAAGCCTTCACAGTCGATGACTCCAAATCTAATCAATGGAGTTAATTGAATTTTTTTGTTTATCTGACATGCTGGTACTGTTCTTTTAATGTTTCTTTCGTTGTTGTGTAGGTGATAAGTCGTTCAGTCACTTTTATGATTATGGTTAATCGTTGACGCTTCACCGATTCCATGAATACTAAAATTATTCGCGTTCGTATTACCAGCCAAAATACCGGTAGTACAGCAGCTTTTTTTGTCCAGCAATTACATTGTGTTTGTTTCATTTTGCAGGTTTTTGTCTTTTTTTTTTTTTACTTCACAAAATGTAGGTGTTCTTCGTCAACTTCGAGTTTATATCCAGTAATACTTTTAGTAAAAGAGGAGACACATAAACTGTGTTCAATGTGTATAGGAATTTTGTTTACAACTTACATAGTTGCTGTTGTTATAAAATATGTTATAAAATTCTAAACTCCTTAGGATGTGTGAAAAGTCATATTAACATTGGAAGATTCAGGACTGTTAGGGGTAAATGGTTTAATATCAGTGAATATTTTTCCCGGTTTTATCATCTTTTACAATAATAGTTTTAAAAAAAACAATTGAAATGCTCATAAAATATACTTCTCAAACAAATATAACAAGATTTGTTACAAATTAAACCCATTGACGCTCATCTCTGGTGAAACATTGTATTATAAATAGAAGTTCAGTAATGCCATCCCTTAAAGGGAATGTACAACATTTGCTTTTGCTGCAATTTTCAGAAATAAATGGATTGGAGGATAAGTATGTTATATAAAATATTGTTAAACTGACTTGTTTCATGTTTTGGGCTTGTAGATGCTGGAAAAACCAAGAAAACCTATCATGTTCTTGTAGTCTGGTTCCCTGAACCTAATTAAGATGAATCGGAGCAATTAATACACTTTGGGGAATTGTAAGGTCAGAGAATCAGTCTCACAGGCTTGTACCCCTCCACAGGTGTGTGATCAATTGCAAAGAAGAGTCAGAATAACTAAATATGAAAAAATAAGAACAGTTTTTGAAAAAAGCCAGTTTTCTCCAACGCTGGTCGGCCGACCAGCGTTGGAAAAATACAGTTTTTCTTGAAAATGTCAGCCCACCAGGAGCCACGATTTTAAAGGATGCCTTAGACTGTCAGTCCCTAACAATTCAGTAAGGTATTTTGTGATAATTTGATCATTTTGTTTTTTGATGTTTGCAAATGTTGTATCTTCCCTTTAAAGTCGGCAAAAAATGAAGAAATTGTCCATTGGTGCTTTTGCTTTGACTTCCGTGCTCTCCCTTCGTCCGTTCCCTGTCCAATCCTCCATTCCTAACCCTCAAATCTCCTTCCTTCTGCCTGGCTTCACGGTACTGTAGCAGGTCACTCCTAAATCCCCCCTTCCCCTTCGTAATTGCAGTCCGGCAACTTTGTTTTGTCTCTTTTCCCGGCTTTTCCCTTTTCTCTTCGTTCCCACCGATGTATCTTCTTCCGTTCTCGTGCCGTCTCAAGACATCAAATCCGGCTCTGCG